GACATGGGAGGCCCACAGCACTGATCTTCAAAGGATGGAGTCCCAAGAAGGTAAGTGGACTAGGGGTGTCCGGGTCCCACTGTGACGTGCCTGGAGCCTCAAGTGGGAATTGGCCAGTCGGGGAAAAGGTCCAGGTTAGCAGGTTACACTGGACATAGAGAGTGTGAAGGCTGCGAGGAAACTCTACAGCTGCTCCATCTGCTAACCCCTCCCTTTCCCTCAACCATTTTTGCTGACTCTGCTGAGGAGGCCACTCTTGCCTTGGTATCCTTTTTCATCTCTCAGGCACAGAGGCAGGTGTCGGGCTTCCCGTTACTCCCCCCCACACACTCACACACAGACACACAGACCCTTGTCCACCCATCTGAGCCCATGGCTGGGACTGCTGCATCCTGTGCTCTTCCAATTTATTGCTGCTCCTGCCTCCCACCCAGGTCCACCTGTACGCCCATCTTGTATAGGTAGCCTGGGTGGGGACAACTGTCTGGAGGACTTGAGCTGCTGCAGGGATCGAAGATGCAGCATGTTAGCACCTCAGTGTGAAATGACACGTCAGGAACAGACAGCCATCAGTGGAGCAAAATGTGGAAGAATTTCCCAAGAACCATTGAAGAGGAGGAAACAAAGACCATTAGGAATTGAAGTGATAACAAGCAATGAAATAAATAAGAATCTTTTTCCCGTTGGACAATACAGGAAAAATTGCTCCCCAAACTGAGATGGAGTGGAGAGACCAAAGAATGACTTTGACAAGTCCAGCTTGGCGAGTTAGATGAGTTTATTAGACGTTACTTGCAAGGGTGCTTGCCCCTGGGCAGCACAGGAACTTCTTCCCCAGGAGCTTTCTTGCTAGCAAAATCCGCATCTGCCCATCAGTGGTTTTACCTTAAACCCCTTCCCAGTGAGTGACGCAGAGCTCTCATGTGTGATTGCATGCTCGCGTTGAAACAAATCAAGCATGGGCAGTACCGTCATCATGAGACTTCATACAACCCATGATATGGTTAGTTAATGATAATATAATTCTCTATTAGCTAGGGATTTTAGTATTGTAATTAGCTAAATGGCATTATAGGACAGCTAAAGCAGTTTTAAAGCAGTCAGGGCTGGTTTAAGCCACCTTAAAGCCACCTAAAGCAAGAAAGTGCCGGGGCACATCTCTTGTCCCTGGTGGTTATCTTAATCTATATTGTAAGAATTTTGTTGAACATTCCCAGCCAGCATATTTCTGTGCGATGGGGAACTTAGATTTTCCTCTCACTTGTAGAGGAAAAAATGGACACCACAGAATGAAATTGTTTCAACCTGCAAGAATTCCTCTCTTTTGATAGAAGGACCAGGGCTTTCGCTGAGAGTGGGCCTCCACTCGATTCTAGAGAATCATCCACAATGTCCAGTAAAATATCCTCCTCAGAAGTGGCCCTGAAATAGTTACACACTTGTGACAGGAAAAGCCCCTTCTGGGGCTGGGTAAGTGGGGTGGCGATTTTGCAGCAGAGTTGGAGGTGCTGGGCCAAGCTCGGGGGCTCCGAGGAGTCATTGTCGCCATCATTGTGGGGTGGAGGGAATGCCCAGCGGTGTGGGTCATGCCCATGGACAAAGGTGGGGCTGCTGCAGCTGCAGGGGTCTGGGCAGCCGGACCTGGCACCAGGAGGCCAGAAAGCCCAGCGAGGCACAGCCGGCCAGACCAGGGATCTCTCTAGACTTCTAGGCACTCACCTACTTGGCATGGACACCCTTTTGAGGAATCCAGGCCTCTCCAGGATTGCCCAAGCCTGGCAGGACCCAGCGCCTTCATACCTGATGTCCCACCAGCAGTCCCTGGGGCCGCCGCTATTCCCGGATGTTGGCAGGTCATGTTACTTTCTGGAAGCTCTGTGGAATAGATTCCTGCTCATTTGTTGACAGAATTAAATTCCATGAGGTTGTAGGACTGAAGTCCTGGTTTTCTTAGCTCCTAGGGGCCCCTATCCAATCCTAGCAGGTAGCTCCCTATATCTCAGAACTAGTAATGGGACATTAAGTGGCCATATCACCCTGACATATCTCTTGACTCTTCTGTTGTTGAATCTTTCTCCCTGCAGCTGAGAAAGATTCTCTATTTTTAAGGGTTGTGTGATTAGATTAAGCCCACCTGAGGTAGGTGTCTCATTGTAATATTAATCACAACTGCAAAAGTCCCACTGGCCTTGTAACATATTCACAGGCTCTGGGGATTAAAGCGTGGACATCTTTTCCGGAATTATTCTGCCTACCACAGTTTGCCCTTTGGACCATAACGATTCACACTTGTCCTAAATGCAAAATACGTTCATTCCATCCTAAGTTCCCAAAAGATATTACCCCGTTACAGTATCAACTCAAAGTCCAAATCGCATCAAAATCTCACTAGTTCAAAAGTCCCAAATCTCATCTAAACAGTCTAAATCAGGTATGGGTGAGGCTTTGAGTGTAATTCATCCTGGGGCACAATTCCTCTCCATCTGTGGACCTGCAAAATAGAAAACTAGCTATCTGCTCCCAAAACAAAAAGGTGGGACAGACCTAGGATAATACTTATATATGCATTTTTTCAAAAGAGGAGAAAATGGAAATGGGGGCATGAGTCCTAAAAAAATTTTGAAATCCAGTTTGGCAAAGTCTTTTAGGTATCAAGAGTTGGGAATGCCATCTGTGGTCAGGGCCCTGCCCACTGGGCTCACAGCTCTGAAGTCTGGGCTCTCCTCTGTTCTGAGTTACCGTTGCTTCTTCATGTGAGGTAGCAAGGGCTGGCAGCTCAGACTTTTGTCAGTCTCATATGTATAGAATATTGGAAATTCTAGACTCTTTAATTTCATTCTCTCACTGTCCCTTTAAATCTAAGGTGACAGTGTTCCTACTAGTATAAAATTTTCAAGCCAGGTGTTAATCCCAGCCCCTTGGGAGGCCAAGGCAAGAGGATGGCTTGAGCCCAGGAATTCAAAGTTACAGTGAGCTATGATCATGTCACGGCACTCCAGCCAGAACAACAGAGCAAGACCTCATACTTTTCAAGAACTTTGTGAGTCTCCTGTATATCACTGGGATTCCCTCCATTAGACAAGAGATTTATCTGATTTTTTTTTCCCCTCCATAATCCCGTATCTATTTTTGGCTTTTGCTGAGATGACTGAGGAATACCTTTAAACTTCTCAGATGCCTGCTGTCTGTATTGAGTGGACCTGCAAGTCATACTTAATCTCTTCAAAGAGATTCTGTCGCTTTTTGTGCGACAGAATATCCTGATCTTTTGATCTTGATATTAGCAAAAGGTTATGTAGCCACACCCCTGGCTATTTCTCTAGAGCATGCTTTCCTGACAATGAATCTCTTAATTTCAATGCTTTTTTGCAATTAAGATGGGCTGAGAATTTCCCAAATTATTAAATCTTAGGTCTTTTCTGTGTCACAGCTATTCCTTATGTTTATCTCTTCTCTATCACATTTTATTATAATCAGTAAGAAGAAACAAGACTACACCTTCAACACTACTGCTTAAAAATGTTCTCAGCTAATTGTCCATATAAAGACTCATGTGTGAATATTTGTAGCAGCTTTCAATATTTTAAAATAGGGGATGTGCAAATGCCAATTAAGATAAATGGATAAACTGTGATGTATCCCTACAGTAGACTACTTAATTTTAAAAATGAGCTATTCATACATATCTCAAATTATGTTGCATGAAAAACATTAGACCAAAAAAAAAAACCACACACAAAACATTTAGACTTACATAAAATTCTAGAAAAGGCAAATTTTAGCTATAGTGAAAAGTACTCAGTGGTTGCCTAGGGATCAGGGGAAGGAGGGCTTTAGAAAGGGCTGAGAAAGGGGTTATGAAGGGGCATGAGGTTAACTTTGGGGGTGATAGATGTGTCCAACGTCATTGCTAGGGTGATGGTTTCGTAGGTATATAGATATATCAAGACATCAAGACTTACCAAATGGTACACTTTAAGTATGCGCAATATATTGCCTATTGATTATACCTTGAAAAATCTATAAAAAATTATTCCATTTAAAAATCTGTGTCTTCCACTTCTATTGGAAAACTAGGTGACTGGACATCACTAGCAAGTCTACCACCTCACTCCAAATGCCTTGGGATGACCACCTTTTCCGTAGTAGCAAACTGGCAAGCAGTGAAGGTCATTTCCAACAGAGTTACCAGGGACTCTGGCTGTTCACAAAAGCTATATCCTTGGAACCACAGTATCTCTTACTCTCAGGGTTACTGCCTGTGTGGCAAAGACATTAGGTAGAGAACTCTGGGAGGCACAGTAGTCTAAGAAAACTGCATCCTTTGCTGCACCAGTGACCTTGGACATAAGAGTGACACAGCCCTGGAAATCTTGAGAATTTCTGTACATCTGATCCCATACAGCCAGTGACCAAAATGTCTGTGAATGTGTCTTCACAATGGGCATCTCCCCTCTAGTTTGCTGCAGTCTCCCCCAATCCCAATTATTCATACCCAGTGTTTCCCTATCAAGTTAATTTCCCTCCTGGATGCATTAGGTTTTACCCTAGTGGTGACCGGTGTACCAGTTTCTGACCTTCAGGAAATACAGTCACTCAGCAGGTCCTGAGGAACAGCTTTCCCTTAGTGTTAGGAATACGGGACATATACTGGAAACAAGACACCCAATCCATGCTGCTTCTAAATGCACTGTAGGTTGTCACAACAGCTGCACCCTTAAGGTGATGTGTGGGCCCTTAAATAACTGAAATCCAGACAAATGAAGCCCACAAAGATCTGAATTCTTATTTAATAAGCTCTTGTCAGCAATGGAATTTAACACAAAAACTGGACTGAGAAGTGTTCTCCACCAACCCACTGTCCCGTTTGAGGCACATAAAGTTGGATGCCCCCACAAAGGCTGTTTTGTTTACCAATTCAGTTTGGCAGAGCCTGTTTTCAATCCACTCTGGACAGTGAAAAGAATCCCCAAGATTAAAGGTGGCTTAAACTATAAGGCCTTTATTATCACAAACAGAGCAACAGGAGGGAAGTACTTTCCCAGGCTGGGTGACATGGAGGCTGGAAAAATTCATCACAAGTATCACATGAGACCAACAATGTCCATAAAGAAAGTAAATCTTCTCTATGAGCTACTAGCAGAATATAGCTCAGGTCCTCTTGGCTAAAGATGGGTCATGTCCACACCTATACCAGACAGAGAGAAGGGCATGAAGACCCCTGGTAAATTCAAGAGTCTCACGATTCAAAGTACAAGTACAAAGTCCCGCCTTCTGTGAGAATGTTAGGGTGACTAAGCTGGTAGAGTTAAAATGGTTTCAGCCACAGACATTGACAGTGACATAACTCTGGCAAGGAACCTGAGAAGGTCAGAAAGTGCAACATAGTCCCTGGAAGCTTCCTATGTACCTGGCACTCAAAAGGTATCTCCCTCATGTGAATGTTCAGATATCTGAGGTTCAACATCTGACTGATGAGTCTTGTGTTGAAAGTACTCCTATAGCCTGCCTGCAGTATGAACTTTCTGGTGTCGATTGAGGTGGGAGCTTAAGCTGTAGGCTTTCCCACATTCACTGCACTCATATGGCCTTTCTCCAGTGTGAACTTTCTGGTGCCGAACAAGGTGGGAGGTTCTGATGAAGTCTTTTCCACATTTGCTGCACACAAAAGGCCTTTCACCGGTGTGAACCCTTTGGTGTGCAATAAAGTCAGAACTTCGACTAAAGAATTTCCCACATTCAGTGCATTCAAAAGGCTTTGTCTCAGTGTGAATTCTCTGGTGTTTAATAAGGGTGTATTTGTGGCCAAAGGACTTCCCACAATCACTGCAATCATAAGGATTTTCTCCAGTGTGAATGCTCTCATGCTGAACGAGTGTGGATTTGTGTCTGAAGACTTTCCCACAATCACTGCACTTATAAGGCCTTGCTCCGTTGTGAACTCTCTGGTGTACAATTAGGTTGGAGTGATGGCTAAAGTATTTCCCACACTCACTGCATTTGTAAGGCATTTCTCCAGTGTGGACTCTCTTGTGCTGAGTAAGGTTGTCTTTTCGACTGAAGGTTTTTCCACATTCACTGCACTCATAAGGCCTTTCTCCAGTATGGATTCTCTGGTGTTGGACAAGTGTGGCTTTGCGGCTGAAGGCTTTTCCACATTCGCTACACTCATAAGGTTTTTCTCCACTATGGATTCTCTGGTGTTGGACAAGTGTGTCTTTGCGGCTGAAAGCTTTCCCACATTCACTGCACTTGTAATGCATTTGTCCAATGTGAAAGTCCTCTCCACTCTCAGTGCTCTTGGATGTCTTCCTCTTGCTACGAGAAGTTTTTTGCTGATGACTACCCAAACTATCAACGAATTTCTTCTGGTCCTTTTCACACATAAAGGGCTTCTCTGACAAGTGAGGTTCTTCACAAACTGTACCATTCTTCACAAATGAAGCCTTGCCTTCATCCCTTCTTAAGAGTTTCTCTACACTGTAATGCTGCTGGCCCACGTTTGCACTGAACCAGAATTGTCTCCCACATGCCCCACATGTGTGAGGTTTCAGTCCATGGTGTGTTCCATGGTGTTCATCCAGATGCAAAATATCTTTCAAGATGGGGCCACATATGCCACAAGAGTGAGGCGTCTGGGTGGACAAACTTACCTCAGAAGAACTAACATGTGACACTCTAGAAATGCTCTGCTGAGAAGGTGCCTCTTCATCCTCCACCCCACACCAACAACCTGAAGGTAGAAAAATATTGTTGATGTACTTTGGTAAGAGGAGGCAACCCCATCACAAATGTGTATCTACTATACTCAGGACTGAGTCCATGGGTTGTTGACAGAATAGAGCTAGGATGGGGTTGAAGAAAGGGTTGCTGTACAGTACTGGGATCTAAGGATCACAGAATCGACAAAGCCTGATGAGGGACAAAGACACAAGAATGGGGTGTAGTGCAAGAGGAAGAGGCAGGCATGATCTCCAACTTAATCCTCTGCAAATGACTTTCAGCAGGGCCTTGGCTGGCTGGTGACAGGTGAGTGCTACACAGAAATGTGTGTCCAGGTCCAGGAAAATCTGACTAAAAATGAGTAACTCATGTTGAGGAACTATTGAAGGATATCTGCACATCTTATAACACATTACTGTAGTCCAATATTGGCAACCACTGCAGAGGGAGCAGTAGAGAGCCCTTCTAGTAGAGAGTGGGGGAGGACAGCCCTGGATTGGAAGTCAGAATGGAAATGACAAGAGTGTCCAGCCTGGGGAGGAAAAGACATAAATAAGTTATGACCTCTGGCCTGGGCACCAAACAGTGGTGGCACAGGACAGGTTACTGGAACTATGTGAACATATATGACCCTGAGATCACACCATGCCCCAGCTCCCACTCACCATGGCCTGTCCAATTCCCTCCTGCTGTGGCTAGAGTCATGCCCTCTCAGTTGGGCACCCAGAGTTCTCTCCCGTTACAGTTCAGCAACCATAGAGGATCTGGAAGATACAAGTCACAGGGGAAAGATGGGACAGGTGAGTGTGCAAGCACTAGCTCAGAGTCACCCACCTGTGCAAAATCACAAGAAAACAAATATTACAAAATGAACCTTAAAAAATTGGGCCCCCCTTGGCCGGGCGTGGTGGCTCACGCCTGTAATCCTAGCTCTCTGGGAGGCTGAGGCGGGCGGATTGTTTGAGCTCAGGAGTTCGAAACCAGCCTGAGCAAGAGCGAGACCTCGTCTCTACTAAAAATAGAAAGAAATTAATTGGACAACTAAAAATATATAGAAAAAAAAAATTAGCCGGGCATGGTGGCGCATGCCTGTAGTCCCAGCTACTCGGGAGGCTGAGGCAGGAGGATCGCTTGAGCCCAGGAGTTTGAGGTTGCTGTGAGCTAGGATGATGCCACGGCACTCTAGCCCAGGCAACACAGTGAGACTCTGTCTCAAAAAAAAAAAAAAAACAAAAAAAACTGGGCCCCCAGGGGGCCCCACAAGCAGTGACCGTGACCAAAATTCATGACAATGGCAGACCCAAGGAAATGTTAATTAGGAGAAAGGGGTAGGTAGAGCCTGAAGCCCAGAGGTGTCATGAATGTGGACAGTCATCTGGCCAGGGAGAGGCCAACCAGGGTGATATCTACTGAGTTGACCTTAAAACCCCTGATCCCCGACCTTCCTGGCAAAGCTTCAGGGCAGTAGGAGTTGGGGAATGCAAGAAGTAGAGGGGGAAATACATACAGCTGAGCCCAGAGGACCTGTATGAGGCAGCAGGAAAACAGCAGTGCCCATAGGTCCAGCTACGGGAAAGACAGAGAAACTCCTGGGGCAAAAAGGAAAGGCAGAACCCAGCACAGAAGACTGAGATATGTGGGGCCCTCACCAGAAAAAGTGTTAAGTGCAAAGCACAGAAGGCATTACATCGTGATAGAAGAGTCTCTGAGACTCGTCAAGTAGCTCCCACTCCTCCAAGGAGAAGTACACAGACACTTCTCAAAGGTCATATAGTCCTGAATGAGGTGGATAACTGAGCACAAAGCAGCCTCTCTCCCCAGGACTCCTGGGCTACCCCACACACATCCAACTCTGAAGATTATCAGGCCTTGGTGTGATTTTTGTCTATTCTCTCCTCATATTCCATTAATCATTTAGAACAACAACACACAGGAGGACAGATAGACACCATGTATATTGGGGCCTGGCATGCAGGGTCCAACCCTTCTCTTGTCAGCCAGATCCCCTGGGTCCACAGATTATGCCTCATACACAAATCTGGATTCAGCATTTTTTATCAAAGCCTTAGTATCAAAGCCCTGGGCCCATGAATTCACATTCCATCTCCATGTGCATGTCAATCTTTTGGCCACACCTCCTTCACATCACATCTATGCATACGCACAAAATAGGTATCTCCTTGGTCTCCCCACATGCAAATCTGCACACAGCACCCAGAGAATGCTTGGTTAATGTATCCAGGATCACATCTAGCCCTGAACTCAGTTATTAAATCTTCCCATCCTTGCCCTATTGCTTGTGTCAATTCAGCAATCCAGAACCACGTGCAGATCTCAGTTAAACTTGGTCCTTTTCCACTTTGCTATTGTACTGCTGAAAATGCTATTTCCTTATTAGTCGTGGGCTTCTTCTCAACACTTGACTTTTTAAAAGCCCACACCCACTGGGCCCCTACCCCAAAGCACAGTTATTTTGCCGGCTGACCTAGTTTGTCCCTGAGCTAATCCACTAGCTTGATTGAAACTCCTCAGGTCCCACCAAAGGTGGGAGAGTGCACAAAGAGGTGAATAAGGACCAGCTCTGGCCTCATTGTCACCTTGCTTTTATTGCTACAATACTTCAGCATCCATCTCACATCCATGGTCTTCCTGGAACACTCTGCCACCTGCTGGACCCTATTCTTCCCCTCCCTCCCAGAAACACTACCCTCCTTTTTCTTAGCTCTTAAATGCCTCCTACCACCACCTTGCTGTGCCTGCACCTACAGTGTGACCCCTAATGGCACCACCACCATGACATAAAGATGCTCTCTCTAAATTGGATGCTCTACCCTGATCCACATACTGGCTGCCACCTTGTAGATGTCTCCAACCTGAATCCCTTTCCTGAACTCCAGACTTGTGTTTCTAGCTATCCACTTGACACCTCCACTTAGATGTCTTTGGAACATCGCAGATCCCACGTGTCCAAAACTATACTCCTGGTATTACCTAAGAAAGCTACTCCTACCATCAACATCGCTATCTTGGTTGATGACAATCTTTTATCTTCTCAGACCAAACAACGTGGGGTCACCCCTGACTGCTCCCCTTCTCTCTCTCAGCCTCCACATCAAAAAATCGGGTTGGTCCCACTTAAAAAAAAAAAAATGCAGAATGCAACCACATCTCCCACTTCCACAGCCACCACTCTGGTCCAACCTGAACTGCTGCAGGTGGGTCCTCACTGTTCTCCCTCCTTCCTCCTTAACCCTGGTCTTTTCTTCACTGTACAGCCACAGAAAGCTGGTTAAGACAAAAGTCTTCTAGTTCCAAACTTTCGGTGGCTTCCACTTCTCTCAGAATAGAAACCCAGGTTCTCAGGCTTCCATTCCTGCACTGAATCCTGTGCCCTGCTCTCTGATTTCGCCAGACATAACAGTGACTTGAGGTTCCATGAACACTTTCGGTTCAGCCTCAAATGAAGTATCTGCACGTGCTGGTTCCTGTGCCTGGGATACTATTCCATACTTCATCCCATTGCTTCCCAGAAATAGAAATTCTTCCACAGAATTCAGGACATAGGACTTTTGGTGATCCCAGGACCCCCCAAACCAAATGGCAAGAAGGGTAGGTGAAGATTCCCAGGATGCCACCATTCCCCATATTAGGTTGCCAGTATCATGGGGGTGAGTCGGGCTCAATGAGGGCCTGAGATCTTTGCAGGGATCACAAGCTTCTGCCACCATGGCAATGAGGCTGGGATTAGTAGGTTTACACAGTGAGATCTCATGGACTGAACTGTTTCCCTAACCCCTGCTTCGCCCTTTGGTGGGTATGATTTTAGGTTATCTCTTTAACATCAGATAACTCAGGGCTCCGTGCTGCCTCCTACCAGCTGTGTGACCAAGGATAAAAACCTGTATCTCTCTGTTCCCATCTTTATTGTGGGGGTGATAATGGTACCCACCTCATAGGGGTATTTTTTTGTAACAGACATGCTTGTACATGTCAAGTGCCTCTGAAATAGCTATTACTATCCTTGAGTTTAACACTTCTGTAAGTGAACTGATGGGTTTTTGAAAATTTGAGTTTTACCTGCTTTTAAAGAAATGTGGTATTTAAGATTTTCCATTGTAATCAAACACTTTGAGGCCCATCAGTATTTCAGCCAATCTCAAGCACTGGTATAAATTTAACTTACTTTATGTACATGTTTTTGGTTTTTAGTGGCTTACTGATTATGTATACTTGCCAGATGGATACTAGCCTTCTCACCAAACTAGCCTACCTTGTGCATACTCCTCTAAAGGTGACCTGTCAGTGGCCTTTCATTAGAGTTGTTCATCAACTCTTCTTGACAGTTTGGGGAACTGAGGCAAGAGTGCCCTGGGTGGAGATGGGGCTTCTCCACTCATCTGGCTGACCTTTCCTCTGCTCCACAGGCAATGTTCATCATGCTGAGCCCACAGGGTGGCAAATCTATAGTCTCCCACACCTTGGTCTTCATCACAGGCCAGGGCCAGGCTCCCTATACCCTACAGCACTCTCTTCCTGCTAACACCATCCAGCATCCCTCCTTTCTGGAAGGAATCTCAAGGCTGTCCACCCCTTCTTCCCTGGCCTCTGACCATAGCTCTCACATCTGTCACCTCAGGGACCATATAACATCCTTAATATCCCTCTTCCCTAAATCTGATCTGCAGGTTTTAACCTAATGCCTCGCCCCTTGGGATCTCCAGCAGAACTCCAGACTGGCATGTCCAGCTGCCCATGTGATGCCTCCACTGTGAGACATCTTAGATTCACAAAGTCCAAAATCCAATTCCTGATCCCCTGAAAGGTGCTCACTGCTCCAATAGCCCATTTACATTCT